CTCTCTCTCTCTCTCTCTCTCTCTCTCTCTCTCTCTCTCTCTCTCTCTCTCTCTCTCTCTCTCTCTCTCTCTCTCTCTCTCTCTCTCTCTCTCTCTCTCTCTCTCTCTCTCTCCAAAATCTAGATAAATCTCCATCCGGATTCCCGAGCTATCCATAACGAAGCGGAAGAAAAATGCAAATTCAGTCTCGAGGGGGCTCGATCTTCCGTCGAAGATCGCATCACCTCGGCTCGTTTCCATAAAGAAGTGAGAAAAAAAGGATCGGCTCCTTGTGGCCGGTGACACACCTTGGCTCGCCGTGACGGCGGCGATGATAGGCGCGTGACACGTGGGCGGCTCTCGTCAGTGTTCCTCGACAAAGGAAGGGAGAAACGCGGTTGTTCGACGGCTGACGTGTGATCGATCCGGCGGATCCGTGCTCGATCCTGATTTACGCCCCCATAAATAATGCTCCCCTTTGCGCCTCCGCGCGATCTTGTCACGGGAATCTATGCACGCGGAGGCCGGTGGATCGACGTTCCGCCTGGGTCATCGATCCGTCAAACTGTCGATCCCTCGCCTCGAGCGGTGCTATACGCGGAAAACGGAGTGGAGATGCGTGTCATAAGCGACCGAGGGGGGCGAATTGGCAAAGTGTTATCTTCGACGCTCGATGGGCTTGATTGGGAAACATTAGTATCTTAAGTACATCGAGTGAAACGGATGATTGCCGATCTTTGACGAAATTATAAAACATTGTTAAATATATATATTAACAGAGTTAGATAATACTCGTGGATTTTGAACATTAAAAATTTAGAAAATTTACATATTTATTCGCCGTTGTTCAAGTTGCTTGCCAGAAATATAAATAATTTAAACTTGTTAAATTATTAATTTTAATAAAAGTAACGAAATACCTTATTACGTATATTACGAAGCTAAAATTCAATTCTGCCACATTAAAATTTTAAAACAATCGATTTAAATTTTTAATCAATATTCTACACGAGAATGATCTAGACGGGAGGATAATTATTCGATCGCTCATCGAACATGCGATAAATATCTCATAAAAAATATAGACACGTGGTTTAGATTAATTCTTTTAACACGAGAATTTTAACACGATTCCGTTCGCACGAAATTCGAAATTATTTCGTCGCACCCCGCGCGAAATTGAACGTGCACGCATGATTCATACGAGCAGTAATTTTCCTTACGTCAGAAGAAACATAAATATCCAAGATGGCTTCCGTCGGCCGCCCGTCTAAACAGACTGTAATTGGCATTCGATACGTTTGATTACCTTAATAATTCCTTCGGGTTATTAATGCGAAAACAACACCGTGCATGAACATCAATGGCCCCCTTCCCCTCGTCATCCGATCTAATTATTCCTGTTGACCGTTGTTAATTGAATTACGCAATAAATCCGCGTATTAAACGGGGCATTAAACGAGGGAAGCCGCGATATAACGATTTCTTAAAGTAATCATTCCTTATGGCGTTGGATTGTAAATTGATCGTGTATCACAGGGGCCGATCATCTCGGCCGTAAACGGCGGTAATCTCGTCTGGATGCGCGTAAAACCAGGTGATCGTTAACCAGATCGTAATCCACGTTTGGACGTAGATGAAACGGGAACTGATTCGCGATACCAATTTTTTATGGGGATTCTCGTCACGTTCGGGGATAAAATATATATATGTATATCGAAAAATAGGAGAGGGGAAATTGGAGAATATTCACGGAGAACGCGTAAATTAGAGATATTTTTAAATATGATTGGATGGATTTAACAATTCGTTGAAACAACTTTCGATCTCGATTGCTCACCGTTGAATAATTTTATTATTTTATTTATCTCGGTTTTTCGCGCTTTCCTATACGCGAATATGAAAAAAAGAGAGGTGTATCAAAATATTTATTAACGGGATTAATGATTGATTTAGTTTTGTGTTTCCAATTTGATTTTTTGTTCTCTTTTTTTATTCTACTCTTCTCTTTGCGTTTCCCCCTTTTTTCTTACTTTTTGTTTGTCGGTTTTTTTTTTCTTTTTTTTAATAAACAGTCGCTTGGGTTGAAATTTACGTATCAAATTTGTAGAGCGGCGTAAATGTAAATTGCGCGCGATATTTTACAGAGAGGCAGAGCTCGGATTTGCAGAGCTTTTATTCCCCACGTAATGTTTTTTAAACGATTTCGGTGGGGTGGAATTTCTTTGATCGTTGAAGCAAAAAATAAAGGATGGAGAAGGTAGATTTTTATATCATACTTTAAGTTCTCTTTTAAGTTATCGAACAATTTCGAGAAAAAAAGATATATCGATGTAAATGATGAAATAAATACCACTTGTTCAAAATTTACAAACATCTAACAAATTTCGATATATTTTCTGTTTTCCAGTTCTGTCTCCAATTCTCGTTACTCGGCCACGGTGAACGAGGAGGAAATATCAAGAGTTCAAGAATTAATCGTCGAAGAGTTAATCAAATTCTGTGAAGTTCGTGGTCGGACGAGTTAAATAATAATATTATTTTTAAAATGGCGAACGCGTGAATGAACCGAGGCTAAATTGTTCGACGTGGTTTCCCAGAAGCCCGATTTCGGGGTACGTATGAAATTTAAAATTTGTATATTCCTGGCAAGCTGATTCACGAGCATCGAATTCACGGAATTCGAGAGCACAGAGGTCTGTTTATTAGAGGAATATTCCGGCCCGCTTGTGTTCGTTACTTAACACAAGGTTATTTGGCACTTAAGAATAATTTACGAGGGCTGGCCTACCGTACGCTCAGCATCTGGCCGACGATTCGCTCGGCTACAGAAAATGCCGGGCTAAGGAACGCGGGGGAAAATATTATGATTTCGTTTCCTCGTTCGAAATTCTGCAAACCGATTCGATAATTCGCCAATGAAAATGAATTTTACTCGTGCGGTTCATAAAAGGTTCTTTTTTTTTTTTTTTGCAATTTTTCTAAACTTGTTAATTTATCTATATCAATAATGTATTGCATAAATTCGACTGGAAATGTTTGAGTTCTTTGAATAAAATGAATAAAAATTTTTATATATATATATTCTTTTTTTTAATGAAATGCGTTGTAAAATGCATTTTTTTTTTTTTTTACAAACAATGGATAATTGGTGCACGATGTTGTTATATTTCATCATTAAAAGATTTCAAAAAAGAAAAAAAAATTTCATTTTCAGAGCGTACGTAAATCGAATTGTTCATCTATTCGCTATTCCGCATCTGGCCATTAACAATTTAGCCTTCAACGTGTACTTTATATTATTGTCACACTATTACGTGTTGCTTGTCCTTGGTAAACTTTATGTGACTGCATAATAGTTAACGCGTTTAGATAGGTTCACCATACACGCGAACCTTCCTGTTTTCATGAATTAATTATGACTTAATGACGTCTCTCTTCAATGACACCTATGTGACTCATTTCTTCCTCTCGTAATCGAATGTGTGTTTTTTGTTAAAATTTTTCGTTTCGATAATATTCAAACGCTGTTCCGTGATTAAATATTTTAACGTATAAATCGCGGAGCTTTCTAGGAAAAAGTTTTTTTTTTAGGAATAAGTGATGTTTAATATTCCTTCGATTTATTTACAATTTAAAAATTTCACTCTACAAAAAAAAAAAAATAAATAATGGATACTCGATCATTCGAGTGTTTCGAGTGTTTTCAAGTGTTTCAAGTCATTGTCAAGTGTTTCGAAAACAAGCACCGTTGACTACGACGCGAAGAAGCAATAATTATTGTCGATGAAGTTGCAACAGATTGTATCGCCGGTCAATTAGCACATCGTTCAACGAAAATAACACAATAAATTACTTTGTACCAATTTACTTTCTGTCTGGTTAATGGGGAATGAATTTAAAAACGAAATGGTAGTACGCATTTTTTTTAAAAAAAGAAGAAAGAGATGGAATAATTCATAAATGTAAAATTATGTTTCGAAATGTTAATGTTAGTTAATAATGTAATTTAATTTTTTCAACACGAATTCATAACGAAATTTCTATTTTGTACATACTTATCAAAAGCTGTAATCAAAAGTAATAAAACATATCAGAACTTACGAATTATCGAAATTAAAAATTAACCAGTTAGTAGAAATATTATTCATTTTATTCATTATATTTATAAAACATATATTTTTTAAAACAAAATTCCTGTATAAATTAAATTATATCATAATTTTTAATAATAAGTATATCTTTGATTGTTTGAATTGTTTTAAAAAAAATAATTGTTTTCAACAAACTAGCTCGGTTAAAATATCATTTGGAATATTTTTCATTAATTTTTTTTTACTTTCAAAATAATAATATATAGCTTGTCGTGAATTTTACGTGTTGCTCGCGAGTAAGAATAAGATAATTTTTTGTCTCCCTTTATTTTACGTACATTCCATCGCCGAAACAAATAATAGGGGATTTCTCTGGAATCTAGTGAATTTCGCTAGGTACTATGACGTGTGCCTGTATTCACGCAGCTCTGTTAACGATTCGTCATTAAAATTCAATTGGTTTCGAGGATGGGAAGGAAGGTAAAAAGCGGGGGGGGGGGAAGAAGAAAAAAAAAAAGCTGGATGATGCACGGACATATTTTTTCCTTCACGGTTACGATTCACGGGGATTAATCTTCTTGGCGTAAAAACACGAGAAGAACAGCTCTCGACTCTGCGTAGGCGTGCAATTTTCTTCTCTTCCTATAGCACCATAATTATTCGACAGAATTCGTGCTTCATTCTGATCCGGTTCTGAACCGACCAACCATTCTCGAAAAATGAATTTTATTTTTCATAGATATTTTGTCGCGAAGAAAAATATGGACGAGAAGAACAAACTTGAAATTAATTGGGTTGTATTCAGAGAAATTATATAATGTAACGTGATCCTTTTTATTCGTGTGTAACTGATATTTCTACCCGATCGAGATTACGTTACAAAATCGTTAAAAATCTTACTATCTATTAAGCCGATTATGTGAACACGGATTCTAACCTAATTCTCTTCAAACCTCTCTCCTCCAACCTGTTTCTCCCGATAAGAATTTTTACATGTTTCACAGTTAATTACACGCTATTTTAAATCGAATGCTTACTACTCTTGCAATTAAAATATTTTTAAAGTCTTTAAAACACGCGTACACGAATTATCAAAATCATGAATAAATAACTCGATTAAACAAACAAGAAGGCGTTCCTCCTTTGTAATACCATACCTTCAAATCTTCGATCTCAATTATAACATTAATTAAGAGTTTATCTATCCGGCAATTAGTTGCCGATTGCCCGAACGTTCTATCGCGGATTTTTATCGCGTTCGTATCAATTCCCTCTTTCCTCTTGATAATCGGCGGGCCCCGCCACTTTTATAAAATGGGGACTGGTTTCACGGGTAAACCGCACGTGTCGAGTCCCGTGGAAAATTAGATTTCGCGTAATTGCGTCGAATAAGTGGAAACGAGAAGCGGCCAAAGGTAAAAAATAACAATCACGATTTTACGTCGGGTAACCCTCTCCCTTCGCGCGTTGCGGTAACCGTTCACGATGCAATTAACCGTGGAATGCTAAACAGTCGCGATTTCGACCGGCCATTCTGCCAAACGAATACACTCCCGCCTATTATTTCTTATTTAAACGTGTCTTTTTTTAGCCTTGCTCATTCTTTTTACCGTGCTCCCCTCTTGATTAGAAAACTATCTTCTTCGAAGCAATTCTCCCCATTCGTAAATTCAATAATTCCCATACTTTCGTTTATTCGTAGTAAGTTCAATAACTTGTTAAAAAGGGATACAAAAAATCTTTCGAAAATAATTAACCTCTTCTGAAACATTAATACGTATAATATATATATATTTAAATTAAAATTATTCTAAATAAAGAATCATTTCATCGTAGAATCTTTTAATAATAAAACAACTTGAGGCACTGAGAACATTTTACAATCCATAAAAACGCATATACCAAAATTATCTCGATCTCGTGAAAATAAAGATAGAAATAACGAAAAAAGAGATCGATTTCCCAATCGAGAAAAGGCCGACAAAAAAACGAATACAAAAAAAAAAAAGAAATGGGGAAAAAAAATTTGCAGTCGTAGCATGGGTCCTGTCAACGGTTGATGGAAACGGAGAAATAAGAAGCGAGAGAGAAACGAGGAAGGAACTGGAACACAGCGGAACGAATTCGAGGCTCTGCGATGGGATGACGTCATAAACCTTATTTATACCCGCGCGTGTTCCAAGCGTACAAGAACGGTGCCGTTATTCGGGGCACACCTCGGTTGAAGCGGGCGCGGATGCGGGCGGAAATACGTGGATACACACGCGCGTGCACGTCCGTGCTTGCGGTTAAACACGCACCGGAGCACATCCTACACCGGGTGGATTGCGTCATGCAGACAGGCTGCGTTGTCGGGTTACGAAATCCTGGAAAATCTACGAGCCCACGCGACCAATCGATTCCTTCAATGTACACCTATCATGGAATTTAGCGTGAAACACGCGATCGGAATGGGACTCGAGATAGAATTGTTTGATATACGAGGATGTCCTTTCCTTTGTTTATTCTTTGTCGCGTCTGAACTTCTCACGCGAAGATAAAAGTGTCGTGCTTGCGCGGTGGGTAACGATTTTACGTTACCGATTCAAGTAGGTTTCGCTCTTATTAACGATTGTTCGGACAAAATTTTTATGCAATTAAAAAAAACAATTTATATCGTCAAGATGTTTTTAGTATATGTTCGTTGCAAAGTTGTCACGCGAGGATCAAAGGTATCATCGTGCTTGCGCGGTGGGTAACGATTTTGCGTTACCGACTCGAGTAGGTTTCGCTTTTATTAACGATTGTTGGACAAAATTTTTTTTATACGATTAAAAATAAAATTTGCATCATCAAGTAACAGTGCTATTATTGAGGGAATTGGATGCTAAAAAAAAAAAAGAAGATAAAAGAAAAGAAAATTACTGGATAGACGACGAATCGTCACGAATATCGTTTAAGTCGAAACTTCAATCAAGTTTGTTCGCGAAAAATGTTCATCGACAATTTCGTGTTGCTAAGCTGTGCATCGTGAAAAAAATTTTACCCTTCTCTCCGAATACCGTGATTCTATGGTAGGTAGATAGGGTAGGTAGAAAGAAAAAAGACAAAAAAAAGAAAGAAAGAAAGAAAGAAAAAAAGGAAAAACAGAAAGGAGGAAGGGAATAAAAAAGGGAAAAAATGAAATGGAAGAAAAAAAGAGGGGAAAAGCCGATTTCCCGGCACGGAAATGGAGAGAGTCGAGGTGAATCCACAAAGCGGCTCGCTGCCGAGAGATTGTCCAGAAAAAAGGCAAAAATTAAGGACCGAGGGAAATTCGGTTACGCTTTTGCGAATCACGAGGTTGCCATGACATTTGTGCGTGTATGCGCGCGCGCGTGTGTGTGTGTGTACGCCCTTATATATACAGAGATGGATAGAGAAAGACTGTTGCCACGCATTTTCTACACGCATGATGGTTAAGAGGAAACAGAGGAAATGTAAAATGAATTACAAGTGGAACGGACACGTTTGTGTCGGCCATCTTTCACGATTAATACGAG